GGAGGGCTTTGCTCGGTGGCAACGCCAAGTCCACTGACAAAAGAAAATATGGACATGGTTAAAGAACTTTTTCCAATAGTAAACGATTCATTGTTAGAGAGCGAGAAAGAAAGCGTATACAAGGTACTAGCGCGTCATACTGTAATAGTCTCGGAAAATAAAACGGACTTGGGAGAGGCGAGAGATGTCCAACACTTTATTAACACTGGTCAACATATCCCAGTTAAAGCTACACCGCGTAGATTTCCGTTTCATAAGCGTGAGGTTGTACGAGAAGAAGTGGAATCGATGCTTGCAAGCGACGTGATTGAACCTTCCACATCCCCTTGGTCGGCTCCGGTGGTGCTGGTGAGAAAAAAAGACGGGAGCGAGCGTTTCTGTATCGACTACCTTAAACTGAATGCGATTACGAAGAAGGATGTTTTCCCTCTACCGAGATGCGACGAAATATTAGAATCGCTTTCGGGGGCAGCCTACTTCACTCATCTGGATCTAGTGCGAGGTTATTGGCAAATCAAAGTCGCGGAGCAAGATCGCGAGAAAACAGCTTTCTCCACACCAGACGGACATTTTCAGTTTAAAAGAATGCCTTTTGGGTTGACTAATGCACCGGCAACATTTCAACGAGCTATGAATACGATTTTGGCGGGACTGTGCTGGACTGACTGTGTTGTATATTTGGAAGACATTATTGTGAGTGGGAGGACACTAGAAGAGCACAATCAGCGCCTTGAGAACGTATTAGCAAGATTAGAAACTGCAGGGTTGAAATTGAACGCAAGAAAATGTGAGTTTGTCCAACAGCGGAGTGCTATTTTAGGACATGTCGTTAGTAAGGAAGGGATCTCGACTGATCCCGATAAGGTGAAAGTCCTGGAGAAATGGCCTACTCCAAACAACCTATCGGACTTGCGTTCGTTCCTTGGCTGCACGGGTTACTACAGGCAATACATCCGGGATTACGCCAGAATTGCCGAACCACTTTATAGACTTGAACGAAAGGGAACGGTTTTCAAGTGGAACGACGATTGTCAGAAAGCATTCAACATTCTAAAGACAAAATTGATAACGGCCCCAATACTGTCCTACCCGAGACTCGACATTCCTTTTATTCTTGATACTGATGCCTGTGATACGGGGATTGGAGCTGTGTTGTCGCAACGCCATGGAGAAGACGAAAAGGTTATTGCCTATGCCGCCAGGTCCTTATCAAAAGCGGAAAGGAACTATAGTACTACTAGGAAAGAACTATTGGCCCTTGTATGGTCGATGGAACATTTCGCATCCTATTTAATAGGAAAACCATTCAGAGCACGTTCTGATCATAATGCACTGAGGTGGATAAGAAATTTTAAGCAACCTAAAGGACAAGTAGCACGATGGATTGAAAGATTGTCCGTTTTTGACTTTGAAATTGAACATAGACCTGGACGTAGTCATGGTAATGCTGATGGTGTATCACGTATACCTCAGGATACTCGTGAGGTACAGAGTGGCCACGTATGTAACGCATCGAATGGTAATGACGAAACGAGCCCGTGGTGTCTGCGCTGGACAGCGAAGGAACTGAGTTTGCATCAACACGAATATCCAGAGATTTGTCGCGCGATCGGATGGGTGAAAGACGGTAAGCGACCACCGAAGGAGGATATAACACGTATGGGTCCTCTAATGGGCAAACTTTGGAGCAAATTCGATTAATTGACGCTTGTTGATGGACTTTTGTATCGTATTTTCGAGAACGATAATGGTAATGACCGACATCTTCAAATTTGTTTAGAGATAATCGATATTCTTGGGATAAAGAAAACCCGAACAACACCATACCACCCTCCAAGTGATGGCCTTGTTGAACGAATGAACCGGACTCTGAAAGATATTCTTTCAAAGTTGGTCAATGAACGTCAAGATGATTGGGACAGATGTTTACCTCAAGCATTGTTGGCGTACCGGTCCACCGTGCAAACCTCAACAGGGTTCTCTCCACATTTCTTGATGTTTGGAAGAGAAACAAGAATCCCAGTTGACCTAATGACACCTGAGCCCCCTCAAGCAGAAGTACCACTGACTACATCAGAGTATGCGGAAAAATTGAGGAAACGTTTTGAAAGAACATACGAGTTGACCAGAGTAAATACAAAGAAATCTAGCGAGCGATATAAAGACTACTATGACGCGAAGGCGAAAGATACGACGTACAACGTCGGGGAGAAAGTATGGTTGTATGTACCATTTGTCAAAAAGGGAAAGAATTTGAAGCTATCACGGCCGTGGCGGGGTCATATACGATTGTGAAGAAAATTTCAGATGTGGTGTATCGAATCGAGAAAAATGCCAACAAAAGGAATAGGTTAGTAGTCCATTACAATCGTCTTAAACCGTGTTTTGAACGACCGTTGAAAAGTCTACCTAATCGACCACCAAACGAGACGAAACTGCAATCGAAAGAAACCCCCGAAACGAGAAAAGAAAACGTGGAGAATTGTAGTGGCCAAACCCCGCAAACGGAACCCCCAACCAACGGAGGAAATGATGAGGATGAGTGGACAGTGAGGTATTTTAGAAGAAATTTGAGACAAAGTAGACCAAGTCGGGCAATTAACGGGGAGGAACACGGACAAAATTTACCTGATGAGGTCCAAGAAGACGTACAACATTTACCTGACGAATTACAACAGGATGGGCCATTGAGTTCAATGGAACAGAATAATCAGAGAGACGGTAGCGACGAGACATTGCGAGAACCAGTAGAAGGAAACGAGGGACAGTCACAAGCCCCACCGGAAAGGCCAGCGCGAACGAGAAAAAACCCAGCGTGGTTACGGGACTATGAATAGCTTTAGCTATACATATATGTCGGACTGTACTGCATTTTTGCAGCTTAGTTATCTATTAAATTGCACTGCATTTTTGCAGCTTTGTTATCTATTAAATTTAGAGGGGAATAGTGTAGAGAATATAGAGACCGACGTTATAGAGACTGACTTTAGCAAATATAGGCTGGCGTGGACGAGCGTTGATCGATAGTTTTAAATCCGAACACTACAGGAAAGTTGTAAGACTGTTAATATTAATATATCTTCAGAAATAAATTATTACAGTATAAACATTATTCTCTTAAGTTACGGAACGTTTTTGATAGCGTACGGACAGATTAAGTACATGGAGAACAATATGTCCTTCTTGTAGGTCTATAATTGGCAGCCCTCCCTGTTGTCAGTTATTAAGCGGCGAAGGTGTATTACTGAGGAGAATGCTACACTGCACCATCCCAGTCTCTTCCTCAGACTGACTGTACAATGTACATCCTTATTTTTCATCTTCAAATCATCTTCCATCAGTGCGTTTAATTCTCGTTTGTATAAACATTATTCTCTTAAGTTACGGAACGTTTTTGATAGCGTACGGACAGATTAAGTACATGGAGAACAATATGTCCTTCTTGTAGGTCTATAATTGGCAGCCCTCCCTGTTGTCAGTTATTAAGCGGCGAAGGTGTATTACTGAGGAGAATGCTACACTGCACCATCCCAGTCTCTTCCTCAGACTGACTGTACAATGTACATCCTTATTTTTCATCTTCAAATCATCTTCCATCAGTGCGTTTAATTCTCGTTTGTATAAACATTATTCTCTTAAGTTACGGAACGTTTTTGATAGCGTACGGACAGATTAAGTACATGGAGAACAATATGTCCTTCTTGTAGGTCTATAATTGGCAGCCCTCCCTGTTGTCAGTTATTAAGCGGCGAAGGTGTATTACTGAGGAGAATGCTACACTGCACCATCCCAGTCTCTTCCTCAGACTGACTGTACAATGTACATCCTTATTTTTCATCTTCAAATCATCTTCCATCAGTGCGTTTAATTCTCGTTTGTATAAACATTATTCTCTTAAGTTACGGAACGTTTTTGATAGCGTACGGACAGATTAAGTACATGGAGAACAATATGTCCTTCTTGTAGGTCTATAATTGGCAGCCCTCCCTGTTGTCAGTTATTAAGCGGCGAAGGTGTATTACTGAGGAGAATGCTACACTGCACCATCCCAGTCTCTTCCTCAGACTGACTGTACAATGTACATCCTTATTTTTAAAGTTAGAATTAGGGTTAGAATTAGTATTATAGCGCATTTTCTGAAATAATTCCTAATAAAGTAACTTGTTTCTAAGTTGGTATGTGCAGTCAACCTGGGTATTAATCAGAACATTTTAATTGGAGTGTCAATTTAATTTTAGAGGTTTCATCTGAACTTGTAACATTCTCTTATGGTGAAATTTGTTTTTCAGACGTAGAGTTGAAGAACTACAAAGAATCAACGGAAAATACATTGGATGCAGACTTCACTGAGACATCAACTACAGCTCGTGATGTGTTATTTGAAAGTCGTAAAGAGAAGCTATTACTGAATATATCTTCAGTGATTTTGCTGTTGGTTCTGCTTTTCTTATGGGTATGGTACCGGTGAACATCTGTGCTTCTTATATGCACTGACAGTGGCGTACCAAACGATACCATTTTCACTGATACATACATGTCAGATTCTGTAAAAGCTTACACTTGTATTTTATAGCTTTTAGCTATGAGCTTTACTCACTTTAGCAGCTAATAACAGGAATTATATCTCATTTGTGTCGGTTTTCTTTGATCGTCCGAGGTTTATAACTAGCTTATATACCTTGAATAAATGATTAGATTAAACTTGTAGACAAAATGCGAGAATTTTTCATTAAAAAATTTTGAAATGACAAAATATGTTGGAAAACCTCCGCAAATGAGATATAAGTTAGTTATAAACCTCGAAAGTCGGTCTGATATATTGCCCTCGGACGCTACGCGTCCTCGGGGTCAATAGGGAGCTTATGCACGCAGGACGGCAACACGACGACGACGGCAACCAATACAATCAGTCAATGAAAAGAAATAACTAAAGTCCCAGGGGAGTTTCAGACATGGTCGTCGCTCTGTTTACAACCGCAAATTACAGATTTTTACGTCTTTTTTACAACGCCTGCATTTCAAGCCGTAACAAGTGCAACTTAAAATTCGGTTCAGTAGACCTCTTCCCAAACATAAAGCCAATGTTTTCAACTTCTTATACTGTATTAAATTCATAGGAATTATAATATACGACAATTTGTCTTTACTCTCATTTATTTGAAGGAATTTGCTTTGGCCGTCGTCGTCGTATTGCCGTCCTACATGCTTAAGCTCCCTAATATATCAGTTATAAACCTCCTACTCGGTTTATAACTCTAACTTGCACCATGTGTACCACAAGCGGCCCAGACGTGTATTAGTATGTAGCAAATATATAATTATAGGATATACTACACAGTAAAATTTGTAATGAATTTTATATTTTAAAATTATATTTACTTGCCTAATTTGATTGCCCCTTGATATTGTCGGGAATATTAGTTTTGAAAATATTTCACCTTTTTTCAGAAAGCGGTATCAATTTCCAGTGCGTAATACAAAATGACAAACTTTGCTGGGCTATATTATCCGCACTTTACAACATTTTGCCACGAAATTTTGTGATGCTCTTTCAAGCCGCATTTGTGATGCTCTTTCAAGCCGAATTGTCTAGATCAAAATTTTGTTCATTATGGAATAGGTCCATACAGACACATTGACTGGTCTTTGAATTCATCTACTAATGACCACATTGACGAGCAAAAACATACAGGGTGCAGTCCCCCCAAGACGAAAACTTTTGAAATAAATGTATTGTTAGAATTTGAATGCCTCAGCACTCTGTTGATCCCACACGTGCATCAAAGCTTGACGTAAGTAAATTTTATGCATAAAGAACCGTTTAAGAAACTGTTTTAAATTCCCAAGGCCAAGAGCAGAAAATCGTGCACTTTACAAAGATATTTTAATTTCTTAATAAGTCAATATTTAATATATGCACCCTTGACCTTAATTGTCAATACTTTACGCATCTTAATTTGCGTTCAGCTTAGTGCTAGGGCATTCAATTTTAACAATACGTTATTCCAATGGTTTTTCGGGTTTTTTTTGGAACCTGCATGTATTGCCTACATAATTATACTGTATAATGTCGTTTGATTTTTAAGCAAACCAAAAAACCCGCTTAAAGAACAAATTCTTTAACTGAGATAACATATTTGAATAAGAATTGAAGTCACTCTTCAATGAATTTTATCCATTGAGCTTCAGAAATCCAGGTCTCGCTTCGTAGCATGTTGACAATTGTTAAACATCGTATACAACATATTTTCATTCGTCAAATATCTTTTCAAATATTCGTACGTGGCTTTACTGAAGTTTATGTTTGAGTATAATCAACCTATACTACATTCTACAGCTTGGTGATCTCTACAGTTCATTATCAGAATATAAATAGCTGGTATTTGCACAAATTGCTTGGTTTCCTTCGCTGTGGTGGTTAATAATTATCTGTCAAACTGACTGGTGTAAGTGCTTACTCGTCATATAATGTAAACCTCTAACCTAACGTTTAATAGATTGGTAGAAGTGACTGAGGTTTCAATATAATGATATTATTGCAAACTGTAAAGTATTAATGGTTGAGATCGTTGTATCAAAGCCAAAGATAAAAATAGAAACATATTTGGTAAATTGGCAATTCCAGCTTTTAGTTTATGCCTGCAGGGGATGATGGGAAGTAAGGTATCATATATTGCTGATTATGCTGAAAAATTTCAATAAAAACTGCCGAAACAACCGAAATATTTCAATGTTTAGAAGTATAAACTATCACTCCGTGTTTACACGGCCACCATTTCTATTTTTTTTCAGCATAATCAGCAATGTTATTTATACCTTACTTCCCATCGTCCCCTGCACGCATGAACTAAATGCTGTTGTATTGTAACTAAGTTTGTTATGTAAGACATCTGTTGTTTGTCTGTGATTGTATGTTATGGGTTATGTGTGCTTTTTGTGCATTTTCGTATTCGCATGTTTTTTCCATTTTGATTTGTCCTTAGCGGATTGTTCATCTAGACCAGCGTTCTCTCTCCTCCGCAGAGGCTTACATGAAGTTTCTAGTGAGGGAAAAGTGAGCGCGCAAGGAGTGATGGGAAGAGCTAAATAAAGGAAGCCTCTGCGAGTTAATGCAATCAATATGGCGTCGTATATAATAGTTTGTAGCGAAGTTCGATCAACCATCGAGGGTGTTAAAACATGTTTTCGACTTTCATTTTCAGGCGTACTTGAGTATCCTGGGGTCAATTTAATATCAATATCTTCTTCCGTCCATTTGCATCGAAAAATATTGAGAAATTGCAAACGAATATCAATGAATATGAGCTATGTAATTATAAATATCCTCTTAATTGCAACATTTCTTTATAAAAATGACTCTGTTAAGTTGAACTTCGATACTCATATTATGTCGATTCATTTCAATTTCTTTCACATTGCCGTCGATTTAAAGTTTAAAAAAGGTCAAACAGCTAGTTCGGTTCAAAAACCATACTTTGTCGCATTATCTGGCAGAGCCTCCTCAACTTCATTTCAATCTTCCCATCACACAGCGCGCGCTCACTTTTATTCAGGAAACTTCATGTAAGTTATTTGTAAATACTTAAGGAGGCTCTGCGGAGGAGAGAGACCAGCGTTGATAAGGCTTTCTTTCATTTCCTCAAATGCTATATTACTTCTTTGCTTTGCTTCTTCTATCAACGGTATCCAAGGATCCATTTCCTCTTCAGTTTCTGACTCATTATCAGTCATGGTCGAAATTTCAGACACTTCAGTTGAAGTTGTCGAAACGTCGTCTTGAAAATCCCTTTCCTGACTATCCAAGTCCGTTTGAGACATGTTTCTTTCTTGTTCACTTAGGGGACAGTATTCCTTTTCGTGTCTTCGTAGATTGTAACCACGATTAAATTGCTTTCCTCAAAATTGGCGGCTCATTCTGTTAGCACTGACTGTGCAGAAATGTCTTGCTGTTGAGCAGTATTGCAGTTTTATGAGCAGATGGGCATGTGCTCATGAACAGTTATGAGCATTTGCTCATACGCACGGGACGCAGGGACGTTTCTACGGGATGCCCTGGACTTGCTTGCGGGACACTTTGAGAGGTGTCCCTATATGCGGGACGCACAGGACTTTCTTACGGGACGCATTTTAACGTGTCCTTGCGTCCTGTAAGATCGCTAAGACACACGCATAAACTAACACACAGCCTTTTTTTTAGTCTTTTAAACATCCCAATTCACACATAAACTAATACAGAAATTTATATTTTAAACAAAATATATTTCCCGCCTTAAAGCAAAAAAAGCTTGAACTCCACCTCAAGTTCATCAAGAGTTGCATCACGATCTTTCCCAAAGTTTGTAAACGAAATCGCACTGATTTTAAGAGCAAAATATTATTGCCAAAGCTACCCATAGATATCTTATATAGACTAGATCGCTAGCGCATCTCCTTTAGTAAAATTGAAGCCAAGAATATTCCAGCGGTTACCCCCTTTTGAATAGATGGCGGCCATGTTGGTGTTTCCCACTTGCTAATAAACGCTTAAAAAAACAACAATAACTTTCATCACTTGATTAGTTTAAAAATGTATTTGGAATAGGTTTAACTTAATGTTAAAGTTCCTATAGGTTTAACTTCATGGGAATACCCTGAGCCTGCAATCACGGCTTCAATTTTTGAATTGCAGAATAATTAGATGCACTATCTAGTGTATATAAGATATCTATGAAGCTACCGCGTTGGTTGACTGCATGCATAAATTAACACATGGATTAACGTTTTGTACACGCGATAGTTATATCGCACGCAAAAACGCAGATTAGTGTTTTAAACAATGTAATTCACATCACAATCAATCAGTCAACATGCAGTGTAAAGCAGACAGCGTTGGGATCCTTGACATGGACGGATTTTAAATTGGAAAGAAATTTTTCTGTAAGGAGTTGGGAGTCATAAAGGTCTGAGACTCTGAAGCCTCGTCGTTCTTTTTTGATATTAGCTTACACTGGAACGAGCTCAACGAGAAAGACAAAAGAACGTGTAACTTCGTTCAGAAAAAGATACATAAACTCCAGTTTGGAGTGCCGGGGGGGGGGCACTAAAGCATTTCAAATTTCGGACTTGCAGGCAACTACAATTGCCTTCTACAATTGCCTTCAAAGGCGGCCATTACGAAAGGGATTTGCTGGCGAATCTCCGTATTCCGGCCGCAAATTTGGAATTCTTCAATTGTCCCAAAGCTGAAAAACTATTTGATCAACTGATCTGGTTAGAAACCTGCGGGAATAATTTGGAAAGCAACGCTTATCAACACTGCCCGAAAGTCGAAGTCGAAATCTTTGCGATGTGGCTGCAGCAGTAAAGACAAACACAAAACACCGGTTCTTTTAAGAACCACCAAATTTACAAAAAGAATGAAAACGAAACTTGATTATTAACATATTTACTTCTCAAATTTTCCACATGCCTTATAATGATCTTCTTCATGATTTCTAAATTGCTCGCCTGTCGCTTTCACAGTATACTTAAAACTAGGGGGCATTGAAAAAGACCATAGCCCCAGATTCAAGTGGGTCATCACGACAATCCTCTTTCCAGTTAGAAAGTTGGTCTAAAGCCTCTCACTGTTCTCCACACTCATCATTGATTTAACATACACGGGGTCCCTCCTCAATTGATTCCAATATTCAAACACGTATTTATTTATTTATTGTGCTTCGCTTCCAAACATCATACAATAATTGCATTAAAGAAGCTGGGACACCACAACAGCTTAACACCAATTACAGTGGGCCCTTTACAAAATATCAATATAAATATAAATATAAATATAGAAAACAGAAATAATTAACAACTTTTCGCCGAAGGCTAGTTGATTATCGATGAGTAGGGACAGAGACAAAGTCGAAGTTATCATTTAACAATAACCACCGAGCCTGAGGCGAATAATTGTTTTAGTATAATTTCATAGGTGATTATTTGGGGGGAAAATAAAAATACACATTTCTTCGTCATTTAATAGTCAAAACGGCTATCATATTTATCGTATTCATCCCACTGAAGCTCTAAAACTTTGGTCACCTCAACAAATTTATTCCATACCATGTCTTTTTGTTAACTCGCTCTATGGCTTCCAAATCAAATATCTGCGATCTCTCCTCATACGATAACATAAGACACTCACTCTGACTAGAGCGATTTAGTTTACAACCACAGCATCTCTCTTCGAAAAGCTCATAAACCTCGCAAGAAACAGTTTGTGCAAATATTGTCTCTAACAAATTGCATCGCTTAGAATAGAATAGAATAGAATAGAATAGAAACTTTATTTCACGAGGGAAAACGTATTAACCG